GTGCCCGGCCGCCCCCTCCCCTTGCGCGGCGGCCCGAGCCCGCCCCCTCTCCCCAAAGCTGCTTTCAATTTAAACGCCTCCAACCAGCGGGCGCTGCCCCGGGGGGCGCGACCGCAGCGCCGAGCGCCCCTGTAATTTCCGCGGGGAGCTGACCGGCTCAAACGCGGCCCCGCGGTGCCCCGACCGCAGGCCTCGAGACCGGAGACGGCGCCCAGACGGCCTTGCCCGGGTCGTGGGAGCGCCACTGGGGCGGCCTCCTCAGCGCCCGGCCCGGCCTGCCGCCTCCTCCAGGAAGCCCTCCGCTACTGGGGAGCCGCTGCTGCAGGAAGCCTGCGACCCTTCCCCACCTCCCTAAGCCTGGCTCCTTTTTGGGGGAGGCACTGGGTCAGGAGTGTCCGTTCTGTTTGTGCATCCTGTCCTCCCATCACACTGGCAGCTCCCTGAGGGCAGGGGTTAGGGCCCCCCAAAAGACAGGGAGCTGGTGTCGTAACGTTTGTAACTCAGCCTGGTGCTCAGACCCAGTTTCTCCCAAGATGGGGCTGGGGGAGTCACATCCCCTGATCTCTTCTCCCAGGTCACAGCTCTCCTCCCGGAAGTCAGGAAAGGAAAGGACATTTTCCCCCATGCAGGGGGTCTGCTCGCCTTCCCAAGTCTTCTTGAAAATTGAGTAGGGGGCATGTGGGCTGTCTAAGCTGCAGCTCCCTGGCCTGCTGAGGAAGGAGTGGAGTGCCCTGCTAGCAAGTTAGAGAGCAGAAGGCCTGGTCTCTTGGCCTCCAGAGAAGGCCGCAGCATGGACTCTCTCAAGAAGAGCGGGAAGTTGAGGGCAGGGCATGGGTGGACAGGGGCGAGCGGTCCCACCAGAGACGCAGCGGGAATGGCAGATGAATACCGGGAAGAACTTTCTGAGCTGCCAGCAAGGGGACTCCAGGATGGGCCTTGAATGTGCTTGAGAGAGTCCATGCCTGAAGTGCTTGTTTTGTTCATTGTGTTCCTGGCTCCCTTCTGCCTAGAAGCTGTGCTCCCTCTCCCCCAAGGAACAGTGGAAGGACATTTTTTGAGTGAAGACATGTGGGTGAGTTGTTTAAAGGGCCTGATTGCACGATCACTTGGAGTTTTCCAGATCAGAGTGTGTGTGTGTGTGTGTGTGTGTGTGTGTGTGTGTGTGTGTGTGTGTTCCGGTGTGGAGTGCAGTGGCACTATCACAGTTCACTGTAGACTTCTCCTGCTGGTTTAGACGATCTTTTTGCCTCACCCTTCTCTGGAGTAGCTGGATATACAGGTGTATGTCACCACAGTGGGCTAATTTTTTTTTTTTGCAGAAACGATGTCTCACTATATACCCAAGCTGATCTCGAACTTCTGGGCTCAAGCAATCCTCCTGCCTTGGCCTCCCAAAGTGCTGGCATTACAGGCGTGAGCCACCATGTCAACCTATAAAAAGAGTTATAATAAATCTGTCAGCAAAAGACCTTTGTCTCCTCTGAAAGAGGGTGAAGAAAATGAACAAGCAGTTCACACATAGAGATACAGATGACTTTTAAACATGCAAATATGCTCCAATTCACTCATAATTAAAGAAATGTATATTAAAATAGAAATAGGATACTAATTTCCAACTGTCAGATTACATATCTCCAAGGTTGATAATCTCAGTACAGCAGGGACATAAATCACAAGCCTTATGAATGATTGGTAGGTACTAAAAGTATACAGTGTTTGTGGAGAACCATTGGTAAAATCTACCAAAATTTTAAACAATCTTTTTCTTAGAATCAGCAATTTTACTCATAGGTTTTGATTTAACAGATAAACACATGTGTCCAGAGAGATATTCACTGCAATATCATTTTGCAATAGCCAAAGAAAACAAATAAGGCAAATTTGTATGCAAAGCAAGCACAGGAAAATATTATGTAAATAATAGAAACAATGAGTTAGATCTCTTTGTGTACTATTATAGGACATTTAAAAGGTGATGGCAGGGCACAGTGGCTCAAGCCTGTAATCACAGCACTCTGAGAGGCAGAGGCGAGAGAACTGCCTGAGATCAGGGATTTGAGACTAGCCTGAGCAATATGGCAAGACTTTCATCTCTACAATAGCTCAAAAATTATCTGGGTATGGTGGTGCATGCCTGTGGTTCCAGCTACCTGAAAGGTTGAGGCGGAAGGATCACCTAAGCCCAGCAGGTCAAGGCTGCGGTGGTTGTGAACAGCGTGCCGCTGCATTCTAGCCTGGTTGACAGAGTGAGGCTCAGACTCAAAAAAATAAAATTAAAAAATAAAAGGTGCTAAAAAGCAAAGTGCAGAATATCATATGTAATAGTATATTTAAGGACATAGTTATATATGTATATATTAGAATACATCTGGAAGATTATACAAATATTATATATGATCTATCAGTGGCAATTACCTTTAGAAATGAAATTAAGCATCTAGAATGAGGTCTTATACACATTTTTATGTTCTTTGAAAATTTTGCCATGTGACTGTATTACTTTTTAATAAATTAAGCTACCCAAAGTTATATAATTAAAAATGAAAGGAGACTCAGACTAAAAATTCCCATCCCTTAGAATAAATTTTTGGGTGTTAGTTTTACAAACAGTTAAATTGTATATGGAAGAATACAAATGCTTTTCTAGGGAGATAATTTTTTTGTTGGTTTATTTTCATTTGGTTTTGTTTTAAAAGCAAAATAGATTTGGAAAAGGGCTTCTCCTGGCAGCTGAATGCCAGTACCCTTTATATAAAATGCCAGTGCTTCTCAATCCATAAAATGCACAGGAAACACCTGGGAATCTTGTTAAAATATAGATTCTGATTCAGAATGTCTTGGTGTGGCCAAAGAATCTGCATTTCTAACTAGCATCCAGGTGTGACTGACTGAGACTGCACCACACTTTGAATAGCAAAAAATCATATTCCAGAAAAGCATACATTAATTCAATTTTTTGCCATGTACCCTCAATCTATTTTGTTCTTTCTTCATAGATAAGAATTGTTCACAATCTCAGATGAGAAAGCTCTCAAAGAGCAAACACAGGATTAGAAGTTTTCTCATTTGGCTTTTGGCCTCTACTCTGAAAGGTAACGGGAAGGTATGCAACAGAATTCTGCATCATATTTCTCTGATTAGAGGGGATGTGCAGTTATTATTCTCTCTGAGCTGGGATAATGACATGCAACAAGCCATCAGTCATTGAAATTGCCACAGACATGATTGAAGAATGGAGGTCCTTTTGCTGAGGAGAAGAGCAAGAAACAAGAAGAAAATTTCCACTGAAACCTAGCCAGGGTAGATTTGGGTTAAGGAGTGGCCCACTTCTGTCACAATTGGCTCGGGAAGAAGGGAGTCCCTAGGAGAGGATGTAGCAACATGGCCTCTAATTGCCCTGATTGAGGCACAGTGATCCCAAGGCACACAGTCTGCCATTGTACTGTAAATTTTCTGTGCCCAATGAGAATGGTCTCTAACAAATCTACTTTTTAGCAGCTTATAGCACATCCAAGTTGCATGAAGTCCAAGGTTTTCTTAACAGTTCTTTCCAAGACCCATGAAAATAAGAGATGGGGAAATTTCATCAGATTCCCTCAGGAGCCAGAGAACAACTCCAGGTGGACACCTCCCATTTTTGCATTATCTGAGCATTATCACAATCTATGAATATTGAAACAAAAAGGGCTTAGTCTTACTTTCTTACTGGTGACCCTAACATATGGATCTTTATAAAAGAAAAAGTCAAGCTGCAGGTGTGTTTACTTCCTTCTTCAAGGTTACCCAGGGTTTCATGTCAGAAAATGTACATATTTTGACTGTTGGAACACAGGATATGAAATTAGAAATAATGTTACAGTGCACATAACAATTTAGATACAAAGATGATTATCACAGTATTTTTATAAGAATAGAAAGCATAGCAACAAAGTAAATGGTCCATAATAGGATACTGAATAAAATAATTATAGTACATCAGACAAGGGAGTATTAGGAAGTTATTAAACATCATGGTTCCAAATAATATGAAATGGATTTCTTATTATTTGGAAAATAATTTAAAAAATAATAAGCTTATGAGATATTTTATTTATCTTTTCCATGTGTAAAATGGAAACTAAGAAAGAAATATAAAATATAAATAATAATACCACTAGGGTTGGGAAATGAGAGGATGATCATTGTAGGGGCAGGTAAGTGACCTTCTTTGGTGTAAGGCCCAGGTTAGATCAGTCCCAAAGTGCCCACCTGGGCTACAATCCTACCTGTGTGCATCTGAGTGGAAATACAGAATAATGTAATGTTGTGTGTCTACTCCTGCCATAAGCTATAAAATATAATGTATTCCAAAAAGACAATAACCATTCCAAAATAATGTTGTGCTAAATGCTACTTTTGGAAAGGGAATGGTAATTTTGCCCTGGGAGTGCAGCCAGTGAACCCAATCCAACTTTATTTATGTTTCACTGTGTTTAGGATTGTTCCTCCTGCCCCCAATGTTCCAGAGGCTCTTTGATATTTATGAGCTTTAAATCTCTTTCTCTAAGCTGTTTGGCATTTAGGGCCTGGCAGTCTCAGTACCCCTTGTTCTTTCTGAAAGCTTTAGGAAGTTGCTGCCCCTGCAGTTTTCTCTGAATTAGAAAGACCTTTCCTTTCTGGTCCCAAAATGTACTGTAGTGGCAACCAGTTGGTGAGTTGAAAAAGATTAGAGCAGAGTCCCAAATACAGGGGGTTATTAGGAGGAATATTCATGAATTAGTATGAGTTTTATCGTGTCATCCCAAAAGACATACTGACATCCTAATTCCTGGTATCTGTAAATGTGACCTGATTTGGATACAGGATCTTTGCAGATGTAATAAAGTTAAGATGAGGTCATTAGGATGACCTTTATCCAATATGACTGGTGTCCTTATAAGATGGTAATATGGTCAGGGAAAGGCACAGACTCACAAGGAGAACACCATATAAAGACAGAAGCAGAGATTGGAGTCACGAGCTATAAACCAAGGAATACCAACCGTTGATAGCCAAGTGCTAGGAAGTGTCAAGAAAAGATTCTCCACTACCAGTTCAGAGAGCATAGCCCTGCTGACATCTTTATTTTGTGCTTCTATCCCCTAGGGCTTTTTGTTTCTGTTATTTTAAAGCTATCCAGTTTGCAGTACAATACAGTACTTTGTTACAGCAGCCCTAGGAAACTAATGCAGAGTTAATGAAATATGCCAGGTCAATGATAAAAATAATAACCATGTATTGAGCACATTGATATTGAATGTCTAGTTTCTTTAATATTTTTCCTGAGGTACAGTAATCCCAAGCAGTGGATATTATCGTCTCTATTCATAAATGAGGAAACTACAGCTCTTTTAAAGCTAAGAAAAAGATTGGGGCAGAAAATTTATGTGGAAGGTGATATAGTTTGGATGGTTGTCCCCTCCAAATCTCAGGTTAAAATGTGATCCCTAATGTTGGAGGTAGGGCCTAGTGGGAAGTGTTTGGGTTATGGGGGAGGATCTCTCGTGAATGGCTTGGTGCCATTCTAGCTTTAATGAGTGAGTTCTTGTTTTATTAGTTCACATGAGAGCTGGTTGTTTAAAAGGGCCTGACACCTCCTTGCTCTCGTTTCTGCTTTTGCCATGTGACACGCCAGCTTCCTTCCCTTTCCACTGTGATTGTAAGTTTCCCGAGACCTCACCAGAAGCAGATGACGGCACTATGCTTCTTGCACAGTCTGCGGAATTATGATCTAAATTAAACTTCTTTTCTTTATAAATGACCCAGCCTCAGATATTCCTTTATAGCAACACAAAATGGACTAACATAGGAGGTGATTCCAGAAGCAGGGTGAGGAAGTAGAGATACAGATAAAAAGGAAAGGTCTATTCTATGATGGTCTATCATCAAGCTGTTGTCCACAATGGGCAACTAGAACATATTCCTACTGGAACACTCTAAGAAAATTATAGAATGCACTTAATAATTGTCTCTCTGAAAGTTGGGAGGTTGGGGTAACTATCCAGGAACTCCATTTTCCATTGATTGATAGTTTCCCAAACCCATGCACATCTAGGCTGCAACTAAAATCCAGCTGAAAGAATTTGCATGACTTTGGAGAAACACCTGAAGCAAAACAAACAAACAAACAAACAAACAAAACCAACCCCAAAACAGACATGGCAGGTATTTTCGTTTTAAATCCAGAGGTAGGGCCAGGTTACCTTAAACTGGCTAGACTAGATGTCACCTCCCTAGACTTTCAGTACAAATGATGACTGGTTCAAGGTGACTGTGTGACTCAATCATCGTCAATAATAGACAAAATTTTCAACAGCTGTGGGGAGAGAGGGAAGAAAACAGTCTCTGTTTTGTTCACTGAACTTGAAAACACAAGAATGTAAGGCATAGCAATCCATTTGTGACCATCAGGGAAATACCAACACAGGGGAAGTGAGTTGCAAGAAAAAGGGAAAAACTGGACCCTCAGGATATCACTTGAGTTGATAGAATTCATATTGCTAGAGTCAGACTGGCAGCCTGCATCTTTACCTCTTGCAAACCTGTATACTTCCTATTTTCTGAGCTGGTTTGAGTTGGATTTCCAGTGGAAAGTTCTTTGACTCTGGAGTCAAAGTATGGCTCCAGATCAGCATCAGCAGCATTACTTAGAGTTGGCTAGAAGTGCAGAATCTCAGGTCCGACCCCAGATTTTCTGATTCAGACTATTTTGTGCATGCTAAACTTTCAGAACTAACGACTGCCAGAATTGACACATTGGGGAACCCTCCAGAAACCAACATCGTTGGCCAAAGGAAGAAAAAAAAATTAATGCAATTGTAAGTATAGTTTGATATTTGGAGCAAGTTTCTTTCACTGCATGCAAAATATATCCAAATCAGAGCAATCACAATAACGTTAAGAATTTCAGGGTGACTTAGAAGGGCACTGAAGAACCAACTGCATATATTTTTCATTTTTCCTTATTAAAATTTTAGATTTATCTGCACGGCTCTGCCTCATTAGAAGGCTCAAAGACTGAAAAATGAAGACAAGTGCTTTAGATTTATTTCTTTGTCTTTTACTTATTCTAGTCCAAACCAGACATTAGAACAATTACAGTGGATTTTTAGTTTTTATATTTTTCTTTTGTTCACAGCAAGCATGTCTGATGAAATTTCATTTATATTTTTTTAGCCCCTTGGTTTTGCTAATGCCACTAAACATGGTTGCATCTCACACCTTGAATGGTAAAAAAAAAAAAAAAAAAAAGCTGTTTTCTATTGTCAGGTTCCATGAAAATAATCACTCTCAAGCTCTTCAGAATCACTGGAGAGAAATAATCACTGAATTTCATAATACTGTCCTCCAAAGCTACATAAGGAAACAAAACTTCGTATATTAACCAGGCTCATGGATGCAGTCAAAGCTCATTAATTTGATAGTATTTGGGGGAAGACTAATGCTTATTAAAGGAAGTAAGAATTATGAAATTTTAAAAGCAGAGATTTATTACTTCTATGTATGAATCTGTTGACAAATTTTTCACAAGCAGAAGTCCAACAGGATTTCTTTTGCTTCCTAATTAAGACTTGCAGAATTCATCCACATGGAAACGTGAAGCATTCTTGAATTCAAGAAAATAGTCGATTTTCTGAAATGGCCTAAGTAATACTTCTCACAAACATTGTACTAAACAGTTGCAGGCAAAATTCTTTTATTTTAAACTATGTCACCAGGACTAACAATTATTTAGAATCTTAGAAAATGTTTTCTATAAATACTCTATTGTAATAGGTGATTTGTCCTCGGTTTGGTGTAGAATGCTGTACTCACAAAATCCTGTTTCCTCTTATCGTAGGGAACACAGCAGAACTACGGTTCCCAAGCTCCCTTGCAGTTGGATGGGGCCATGAGATCTGACCAATGAAATGAGTCTAAAGTGTGATGTGCTTTATCCATTGTTTGGTCCCTGAAAATATCTCCCACACAAACTGGATTCTCCACTCTTTCTTTTTCTTTTCTTCTGACCATAGGCAGCAGAGAGATCCAAGGTCCTAGTACAGAAATCTATATATGACATCCTGTCTGGTGGGCTGATGTTTTTTATAAATAAAGTTTTACTTCAACACAGCTATAGCCATTTGTTTGTGTCTTTATAGAGGTTGTAGTACCACAATTGCAACAGAGACTGTATAACTCACAAATCTGAAAACATTTACTCATTGGTCCTTTCAGAATAGTGTTTCCTGACCTCTGTCCTAGGAAATTGTAGAACTAATAGATGGGAGCAGCTTATGTCCCTGTGTGATTGCATCAACTAGTCTCCTTTGTCCCTTCACTGACATACATTGCATTGTGATATACAGAAGAAATATATGTATGTATATATAAAATTTTGCTGACTATCAAGACTTGGGCTAGATGACCAGATGCAGATGCTGGTCTTCATTATAGAAACTTGAGTTGGGCTATCCAAATGATACATCAAAATAATTCACACACAAAAATCAATATTTAAACTTTAGTGATAATAACACAGTAGTACTGACCCTAAATCATCCCAAGCTCTTCCACACCCTGTGATGGATGCAGAGCCCCTTAGAATATAGGGTGCAGAGCCCCTTAGAATATAGGGTGTGTGGAGTGGGTCAAGATGTTGGTGCTCTGACTCTCCCACAGAAGCAGACTCTACAGGTGGCAGCACTGATATCAAAGTAGTTGGATGATGGGGCAAATAGAGGAGAATATTGATTTTTCTCATATAGGAGTTGTATTCATATGTTGGTATCTGGTCCCCACTGAAAAGGAAATCTTTAGAATAAAACTTGATTACAAATACCAAAACTGTGGGTAAGTCCTTACAAGATAATGTTTTTATGGGTTAGGAAATGTTTTGGTTCAGAAGAACTTGCTCTTTATAAAGTGGAGAAATACATTATTTTTCTATTCTCTGTAAAAAGATCATACTTTTTTTCAAGTCCTTTATTTTTCAATTCCCATGGATTTAATTTGCCCCAAGAGTTCTGAAATGTTTAGATTTTATTATCTTTCTTGCAACATATATTTGCTACATCCTTCTTGTATTTTGCTGGTATTATAACTCCTCTGGAATGAATCCTAGCATCTCCAATGTTACATTCTGAGACGTGGGAAGCAGGCTAGCCATTTTCTCTACATTAATAGGCAGAAAAGTTCTGTCCTCAGGGTAGCTTTCTGATTGCTGACTATAATAACCAGTGTCACTTACACAGTAAAAAGTTTTATGTGAATTTTTTTATTGTTTCCTCCTGGAAAATTATAGTCATTGCTCATCCAGCAGATGTGTGAGGCTGCAGGCTGGGTGCATCTGTTTCCCCTTTGCATGGTCACTCTGGTCCCTACCCCAGCAGAGAGGCAAATTTCCCAAGTCATTAGTGTAAATCACCTATAGATAAGTTTTTGTAAGCATATTTTTGGCTTTGATTCATTTTGCCCAACTGACCTTTGTTCACTTATGGTTGCAGAAGATTTACCCCTTTCCTCGTGTCTTAGTATGGGTTCTGCAGAGGCTGATCCTGAGTAAGAATTTCAGTACAAATAGTTTATCTGAGGGATGATTCCAGAAAACCTTAGCAAGGGTATGGAAAACTGAGGCAGAAAAAGGAAAGCAATTAATAAAAAATATGTTGTCAAGCCAGTCACCACTGTAGGCAACTGGTGCTCAATCCTAATAGGGAATTCTAGAAGCTCAACATAGGATATGGCTCAGAATTATCCCACTCAGAGGGCAGGGAGCCAATTCCCATCAATCATAGATGGAGAGCTGCTTGCTGGTGTCAGTTCCTTGGAACATCCAGCTTGCTGTAGGAGGCGGGCAAGGTGGATTTCTTAATCCAGAGAAAGCCATGGGCAAAGAAATACAGGTAGTGGACTTGGAAAGGTGAGCTGCTACATACTGACAGGTAAGGGCTTAGGTTACGGGTAGACACTGACAGCATGTGTTGCTCTTGAGCAGAAGAATCAGTGTCACCTCAGGGCTTTTCCTCAGAAGTGAGTTAATAAGCAGTGCCTTAGACAAAACCAACCCATGGGCAGAGAGGTTTTGAGGATCTTCTTCCATCTTGATTTCTCTTTTATTCAAGAGTACTTTTGTAGGTGAACAGAGTATGTTGGCACCTAAATAATGTAGCTTGGGGGCACTTGGACAATTGTCTTCCAGAATTTTTCCTTCCCAGGGTCATGACACTCAAAATTTCCAAGTTAATTGGGCAGTATTTTCCCCTCACCCAGTCAAATTGCATATTTTCTCGGGACACAGGAAGTAAATAAAAACCTTAACCTCATTCATCTGAAGAATGAATAAGCCTATTGAAATGCTGTCCTGAGATATTTGATATGTGACTGATAAGGGACAGGCAGTCGATGAGAGGTGTGTGATGTGAAAGAAGGGATGCAGTGTGTATTGTGGGTGTGAACAAGTGGCCTGTGTGTTAAATGTGTGTTGTGGTATATGTGGATGTGTTTATATGTGGACCCTGGCATCCAAAGTGGTACACGCATATGTGGATTTCACTGAGGGTGGTTCCAAGAATACCTCTAGCTCTTCCCTAAGGAACTGACACTTTAACAAGAGAGTCCCTTCCACTGTCTGACTTGGCAGCTCTCCTGTCTCCCTTCACCCCTCCAGTGCTGTTGAATTCCTGCTGCTTTCAGATAGCTTCAGCTGTAGCTGCTGCTGGCTGGGCTGTGAGGGAGGCTCTGAAGTGCTCTTACATTCTCAGGTAACTCAGTAATGGATTGCTGCTGTGGATCTCCAGAGACGAGCAAGTCTCCAGCTCTGAGCCAGAAGGAGTCCAGGCACCAGGAATGTGCCCACCGTAAGTAAAGAATGTATAAAACAAGTGCCTTAAGCAAGAAGGCCAGACATTTCCAGAAATTTAAAGAAAGTAAAGGGAAAGTATCTAAAGAGTCAGAGTAAACCTGGGAATTACCTATTTCCTAGCCATAGTGCCTGACTTGTTTCTAATTTTCTTTTCTTTTCTTTTTTTTTTTTTGAGTTGGAGTCTCACTCTGTCACCTAGTCTGGAGTGCAGTGGCTGCTCCCGGCCACCGCAGCCTTGACCTGCTGGGCTCCGGCAATCCTTCCGCCTCAGCCTTCCAAGTAGCCGGAATTACAGGCATGCGCTACCACGCCCAGCTGATTTTTTGATTTATTGTAGAGATGAGGTCTCGCTGCCCAGGCAGGTATCGAACCCGCGGGCTCAGGCAATCCACTCACCTCAGCCTCCCAAAGGCGCGGGATTACAGCAGAGTCACCGAGCCCGGCTAATTTTCTTACATCCAGGAAGTATACCCATCTTGTCCCTACAATGAACAGAGTATGCCATGACCTTCTACTCCAGAAGATGCCACTCAACCCTCACCACACATTGGGATCTGTCGCTCACCCCTGACCAGCAGGAAGGAGGCAACAACAACGTGTTCTTCTCAAAGCGGTTTATTCAGCCTTTATGCCATGCCAGCTTCTTCTTTTCTTCTAGCTTCTTCTCCCTCTTCCCCGTTGTCCCATACGTATATCCCTTGGTCTCCACCCACAAGTCCCGTTCCAGCGTGTCAGCAGTTCATAGGCTCTGCAGCGTTGCACTTGCGCGGTGCGCAGTGAAGGAGGGCCCGGCGGTATATCATGCGCCTAATCATGGGACTTGGCAGAGGTCCCGGGCGCCATCTTGGCTCAGGCCGCGCTCTCCACATCTCCCCCTTTTTTGTTTTATGAACGAGAGAATGCCTGTCTTAGGTTGTCCCTTGCGGAAACGTTCCTTACCCATCATTGGGAATACAAGCAGCGCTGGCCTGTCCCCTGTCTTAGGTTGGTAACGTTCCCAGGGGATCTTACCCGTCTTTGGCTACTTCCCTAGCAGTCCAATCCACACTTGGGGAGATCGACCAGCCTCCATGGCCGCGAGAGCCTACACCACGAGGGCCTGCTCCTTCTTGTGCTGTTGCCGAGCATTACACATGCACCGGACAAAAGGGAGGCATAGAAGTACAAGACAGATCCCAAG